GATCAAGAAGGTCACACCACCAACTACGTTTGAGACGCCTAAGTGGATTTCCAGGAATAGTCAGGACTGCGATATCGCGTATTAGTGGATTAATGTTGGAGGACAAATGGTTATGAAAGCGTTTATAATGTGCTTTTGCTTCTTCCTGGACAGTTTTCATTTTTAGATCGGAGAGGATAGCGCTATTCGAGACATAAGAAGGGGTATTGAGTGGTTTCCTGAGGGCTAAGTTTTGGAAGGTTTGAATTTTATTAAGGTTGATATTTTTGCATTACCCTATAACTGCATACCATATGCCCATACTGGCTTTATTAGAAATTTATAGATAAGTAGTTTGACATTATAAATTAATAATATTTTTGTGAGAACCTCTCATTCCATATGTTTTTACTATATTTCTATAATTAATGGCACTTTAGATAGATTTATTCTAAGTCGTGCCCATACCACTATACTATTTTAAAAACAATTCAAAAATCAAATTTAGGCTTAGATTTTTTGCAATATTAAACGTATCTCAAGTAGTCAAGTGAATGGAATCTCACATGTATTGGTCATGAACTTCTTATAATATCAGATTGTGGTAATTGGTAAGTATAATATTAAATTTTAGATGATAAATAAAAATAAAAATATTGAATCTCTTAGTTTTATTTGGATTTTATTAGATAATTGAAGTATTTTATAGAGTATAATTTTAAATGTCAATTGTTTAATTTCATATTGAATTACTCAGATTATTACCATAACACCATACCTAATTATCTAAATCATAAATAAGCTGGTTTATATTTTTTAATTGTTACATAAATTACAAGAGCATCAAATAACAAATTATTTTTAAAATATATACCTAGTATTTTGTCACAATATAATTTAATTATTTTTAGCATTCGGAATGGTGTAATTGGAATTTGTGTATTTAAAAAATTACATATGGTTTTTTTACCATTACACCTATAGTTAAAAATACATTTTTAATTTTAGATTCTGAGCGTAGTGATGAATGTATTGATTTTATCATGATGTGTGTTTTTTTTTGTGTG